ACCTATAACTCGTTTCCCTTTGGTTATTCTGTCTTTTATGGCTTCATCAGTTCTTCCTGTCTTTGTTAGTTTTACCCCCAAATATATACATTGATCGCATTTCTTAATTTTCCCGTCTTCTAAGTCGAGGTCATCTGCAGTATTTTCTCCTCCTATGCAAAGATATTGCGTTTTTTGTAAATTTACTTCGAGGCCCCATTTTTTGTACTCTTCCATTAGTTTTCTAGCCATATACTCTAGGTCTTCCTTGTCTTGGGCAATAACTACCTGGTCATCTGCATAATGCAGCGTGTATAACGTTTCATCCCCAATAGACAGCCCCATCCCTTTACACTTCTTTTTCCACGGCCTGAGTGCTTCGTCGATATATATATATATTAAATAGTATGGGAGATAAACAACAACCTTGCTTCAGTCCTTTTGTTACCTGAAAACCATTAGTAACCTTATTTCCTATGTTAACTTTTGATATTGTGTTGTTATATAGATCTTTAATAGCGTCGATTAGTGAAACGCTGATACTGGTTTTCTCCAATACTTCCCACAATTTCGCAACAGGCACGGTGTCATATGCTTTTGTTAAATCGACTAAAAGTAAATGCACTTCTCGAGATCTCAAGATCTCAGTGTTCTTTTCTCGAGTATTTGGGATAAGCAAAAAATACTATCTATTGTGGATCGTCCCGCTCTGAATCCGTTTTGTTCTTCTGATTCAAAAGGACGGTATTCTTCGCATATGCGTTCTTTTATAATTCTCCCATATAATCTGCTAAGCGTACTCGTAACAGTTATACCCCGATAGTTATTGCAATCTTCCTTATTTACTTTTTTATGGATAGATGTAATCCATCCTTCTTTCCAACTTTGTGGCACTGGTTCTCCGTGCAAGTGCCTATTGAAAACTTCTGTTAGTATCTCGAATAGTTTGTTGGTTCCATTTTTTATTAACTCTGCATATATCCCCTCTGGGCCCGGAGCACGTCCATTTTTCAACAATGATATAGCTTTTTTAGTTTCTTCGATGTTAATTGTTGGAGGCTCTCCTTGAATCAGGATTTCATGTTGTTCTATGTTTTTGAATTCCGGTCTTTCTTCTACTAACAGTGTTTTATAGTGTTTTTCCCATTTTTCGGGCTCTATGGAGTGTATGGCTATTTGTTCTGTTCTGTTGGATCTGATGTTTTTTATAAATCTCCAGGATTCTCTTGATTTGCGGCCGCCAATATACGTATCTAATTCCTGACATTTTCTCTCCCAGCTTTGATTTTTTGACTCTATTATCGTGGATTTAAATTTATTTACCATTTCTCTATATTCTCTTTTGTGTTCTTGATCCTTTGTTCCCAGCCATCTGTGATATAATTTTTGCTTTTGATCTTTCATTTCCTGTAGTTCATCATTCCACCAATTATTTGTCTTTCTGAGTTTACTCTTATTCCTAATGCTTCTTTGGCCGCTTGATGTATTCCTTTTCTTATTATGCTATGTAACTCTTCTGTTGTTTTATGTTTAAATTCCTGTGGTAGTTGTTGCTCCAATCTTTTTTTATACAATTCTCTAGTACTATCGTTGTCTAAACTTGTTAGATTATACTGCAGTTGTTCACCTTCTGCTGAGTGATTTTCATTTAGATTTTTGTTTTGTTGGTGTTTACCGTTTCCGCTTAGCGGTAGTATCATTTTAGCTTTTACTAGATGGTGGTCACTTCCACATTCGGCTCCTCGAAATACTCTTACGTCATGCACTTTTATTTTAGATTTTTGTTTCATTATTAGGTAATCAATTACTGATCTTAAGTTTCTTGTAGGCTGAGTCCATGTATATGTATGTATTTCCTTATGTTTGAAATACCCATTCATGATCCTTAGTGAGTTGTGTCTACACATTTCTATTAAGTTATTGCCATTATCGTTTGTAGTGTTTTCTCCATATGGTCCTATTGTTTTATCTTTTATTCTTCTACCAGTTCTTGCGTTGAGGTCACCTAGTATAATAGTTTCCCTTGTTTGACCTATTTGAGAGATAGTTTCATCTAGGACTTCATAGTATTTTATTTTTTCTTCTAGGCGTGCATCATCATTCGGACCGTATGTGCCTATTATTGTTATTTTTAATCCTTTCAAGTTAAGGTTGATCTTTATGATTCTTTCATTTATTGCTTGCCAGTTCGATATATTCTTTTTGTATTTCTTCAATATAAGTATTGATACTCCTCTTTTGGCATGTTCTTCCTTATTAACTCCCGTGTGTATATGTATATATCCATCAAGATTTTGGGTTCCTTGTCCTTTTTTCTTTGTTTCTGAGAGTACAGCAAAATCCATTTTATGTTTTTTCATTTCTTGGATAACATCTTCGATTTTATTTCTAATTCCTTGTGTATTCCATGTACCACAAATCAGTGTCCGTTTTCGTTGCCATTGTCGTCGTCCTTTAGTTCCATCCATATCCCGAGGCTTGGTTTCGGTATTTTTAGCATTACTATTTCTTCCAAGAATGAGTTGCTAAACCCTCTTGCTAGGAGGACCAGAATTTTCTGTCGGGGTTTATTCCCTTAGCCTATAAATAACTCATCCCGCTGGCAGACGTGTTAGCGAGTGGGGGGGGATTAGGTAAGGAATTTGGAGTTTAGGTAGGATAATACTAGGGTTTGGGCCTGGTTTCACCTAAATAGGGAGTGGAGGAAAAACCAGGAGCTCGCGTGGGCAGGGACGCTACTTCCCTGAAGTAAGTCTACCCTCTATCGGGACCATAAAGGGGTACCTACCCGCTACCCTATCTACATCACCCTACATCTTTTAAATCCTAAATTGCATTAATGCTTATTATTAGTTGTATTCCAACATGTAGGGCTTTCTCGTAATCCATATAAAGCCTTTACCAATTTACATACTACACGAGGTTTAACACTAAGTATATCCGCTGGCTTTAAAAACACATCACTTGACACTGAAGTTTTCAAAAAAGCACTTTTTACATCAATTTGATGAATATCCATATCACGATCGACAGCAATGGCTAACAGTACCCTCAGTGTAGTTAATCTAGCTTCTGGTACATACACGTTTTCATTGTCCAATGCTGACTGCTGATAGCCTCTGGCCACTAATCAAGTTCTTTTCACCATTTGTCCATCAAAATTTTTCTCAACAAACACCCATCGTGAATCAATGATTTCATCATCAGCCTTAGGTTCTACCAAAGTCCAGGTATTGTTGCTTTCTAATGCCAAAAGTTCTTTATCTATGGCCTCCGTCCATCCATTCTACATCGAAAAAGCTTCAGTATAGTTTTTAGATGGTAGACAGCCAGCAGATAAAGCCATCATCATTCTCACTTTTATTACTTCAGGTTCAATTTTAAGAGGTTAGGTAATAAATTGCTCATCCACACCTCTATGTCTCATCACATGAACTGGAGATTCACTTTCACAAGTTTCATAAAATCTAACTGAACAAGATGTAAACACTGCTCGTTTTAGAGGGTCTCAGAGGCATCTCTCAGCAAACTTCCAAGGTCGGTCATCTTCAGGAAAATGTGCATAAACATTACATCCAAATAATTTAATTTTGCTCATATCAGGTTTGTAACCATACCAAACTTCAGCTGGTGGAGAGTCATTAGTCAATGTACTTTTAGGAGTTCGATTTGTTAAGTACATAGCAGCCAATACAGCTTCTCCCCAAAATGACTTGTCAAGATCAAACAACATCTAGGTTTATCTAAAATAATACGATTGTATTTTTTTTTGCTAATCCATTCTGCTATGGATTCCTGGGTACAGAATATTGTATAGTTATTCCTTCATTAGTACAAAAATCTTTAAACCTTTTAAAACTATTTTGCCTAGCATTACAACATCTCAAATACTCTATTTTTAGGTTAAATTTTCCAATGTTTACTCGGACCTGCTATTTAAAAAGGCACTTCAAAGACAGCGACATGGAATCAAAAATCAACGGGGATCTACTTAATGTAACTATATATGCGAACGATATGGTAATTCTGTCAGAAAATATTGAAGATCTCCAAATTTTGCTTAATCGTATTCACGAAGTAGGAGAAAAATGGGCATTAAAATAAACTCAAACTAAATTCCGAGTCATTAGTCGTAACATGCATCCAGATGCAGAGCTTTAATTAAATGTATTCCAAGTTGAAAGAAAAACTAAAACAAAGAATGGTTAAGTTCTATATTTGGTCTATATTTTTGTATGGAGCAGAAGTGTGGATACGAAAAGTATCAAGTTTGAATAGAATTAAAGCATTAGAAATGTGTATTCATAGACTAATAGTGGAGATTCCTTGGACAGTAAGAAAAACTAATGAGGATGGACTAAGGAGGGTCAACAAAGATAGAGAATTTTTAAAGACTCTCAAACACATATAGCGAGGTGAAATCGATATAGACTACTACAACTGGAATGGCTTTCTTGGTTAAAAAATATTCGTAAATGGACTGATATTCAAAGCAGGACCATAATTATTCCATGTGGTTGAAGATCTAGAAGCCTTCGAAATGGTAATCGCTAATGTCGGATAATTCTGATATGACACGTAAAAAAAGAAGATGAAAGGGTTGAGTGGCCAAGTTTCAATTAAATACAGCACAATGGAATACGTAACATTTGAGAACATGTATTTTGGTACTTGATGGTGAACGAGTACAAAGAAGATTCTTAATTAAAAGAAAATGTTTTGGCACACCCGCTCTTTTGTGTCTAACTCTGAGAAGCTTATTGTGCTGTTGTTATACTATTCACTATTAATTTTATCTTGGCAAATTAATACGAATATCAAACTTTTCACAAGATTTGTTAATTTTGTTCAGAATTGCTTGAAGGTCTCCAATGTTATTAGCTATTATTGTGGTATCGTCTACGTAATGAATAATATTTATTAAAACGCCATTGATCTAGATACATTTGTCTTAACTAAATTAAAAGAAAAAACAATTTCTTATAAAGAATTCTCAAAAAAAAATGTATAATATAACTTACTTGTGTAAAAATTAAACGATCTGGAGAAGAAACATCATGGATTTTAAAGTAAGTGTCATGATATTTCATCGCTGTAGAACCAAAAATCATTTCTGTCAGATGGGAAAATTCTTCAAGTTTGCTTTTTTCCTCTTTCGATGACCCATTTTCATCTTTAGTTTCACGATAGGAGTCATAAATCAATTCTCGGTCTCTTAAACGACATTCTTTAAATAAAAGAATTCGGATTCTGTTGGAAGAGTACAAGTTTAAATTTTCCCTAGAAAAATGTTAAATATCTTTATTTTACACACACTATTAGGATTTTGGTTGTTAGTTTTTTAAGTAAGAAGTAAAAAAACAAAAAGAAAAAAGATACAGTGAAAATAGCAACTTGAAATGTGAAAACCATGCTATTAGTGGGTAAATGGAGGATTTAGTCCAGCAAATGGGAAAATATTACCTAGATATCTATGCACGTCACGTAAAATAATAGAAAAAAAAAAGATAGAAAAGAAAAATGTCACACTTTACAATTCCAGAGAAAATAAGCTGGAAAAAAGGGAACTGCATTTATGATGAGTAAAAAACTAAGAATCAAAATCATGGATTTCGGAGCAATTAATGGAATACTTTCATTTATCAAAATCAAGCACACACCAACCAACTTGTCAATAATAAACGTTTATGCTCCAACAGACGATGAAAGTAATGAAGACAAATACACACGTTTGTCAGTACAAAATTCCAATATAAAAACATAAAATAATGGTTCCTTCCAGGCGAAAAAGAAGGTAACCAAATAGATCGTGTACTTATTGCAATAAAAAAAACCTAAGACTAAAACAAGATACATGGAAGCCAACCCTCTATTACTATAACATATTAATGTAACTAAAAAAACAATAAACACGGAGGAGATATAGAAAAAAAATTCAAAACGGTCGCAATTAAGAATATATAAAGTGACCGGAACAACATCAAAGGAAGCGTATAAAAGACGACAGAGGAAATAGTAGGATAAAATCAGAAGAGTAAATCAAAACAGCGGATTGATAAAGAATGCAAAGCCAAACATATAGAAAAGAAACCAACATGAATGACATGGATAAAATTGGAACGGATGAAAAATTAAATGAAAACACAAGGAAAAAAACAGAACGGGACAACACAATATAAAAAGAAAAAATCAGAATAGATTAGAGAAAAAATAGAACCAATAGATAATAGAAATAGAACCAATAATAGATATATATATACAAATATAAAAGAATATGTTAAAAAACAATGTAACAACACTAAAACAACAGTAAGACCTAAATTCCTAGTAAAGAAAACTGAGGAAAGAATTTCTCTAACTTGTACAAAATCAGACAAAACAGGAAATATTGGGGAAGCAGACATAAGGAATGAAAGAGACGAAGAAAAAAAAAAACGCTTTCGCATATAAGGAACTTATTGAAATAGTAAAAAGGTTGAAATCAGAAAAATTAGTAGGACCGAATGAAATCAACAATGAAATAATAAAAAATGGAGGAGAAAAACTGATATGCCGGATTCACAAAATAAAAAAATATATTGAACTCGAAAAATATGCTTATAGAGTGAAGAAAAGGTCACATAACAACGATTTATGTGACCTTTTCTATGACAACGATTTATGTACTGGTATCCCGAGGGTCTCCCGAGAAGACCCTCGAGATACCAGTAATTATAGAGGAATCACGTTACTGAACAACCTATTTAAAATATTGTCAAGCATTTTGAGAAACAAAATAGACAAATACACCGAAAACACACTAGAAAAATATCAATAAGGTGTCAGAAGAGAAAAGTCAACCATAGACGCCATTTACCTATTAACATAACTTATTGAAAAGTGCCACAAACATGACATACATTTACACCTTCTTCTTTTGGTGTTAGATAATCTAACTTTCTCATTTTAATGGTATACATCACCTCTCTTTCTTTCCCCATTATTCTTGTGTGATCTTCAGTTTCGTGGGTTATCTTGTCCGTCTATGATATCCTTAGAATTCTTCTGTATAGCCACATCTCGAAGGCTTTAAGTTTTTTTTCCATCGATTCAGTGAATGTCCAGGATTCAACTCCGTAGTATAATATCGAGTATCGATCATATAAATCGTAGGAGCCTTACTTTCCAGATTAAGGTTGTGGCTTTTAAAGAGTTTGGCCTTGTTGTTGAATGCACTCTTAGCCTTCTCCATTCTATATTTTACTTCTTGTGAGTAATCCCATTGTTTATTTACTATTGTTCCAAGATAGGTAAACTGTTTTACTCGGTAGGTAAACTGTTTTACTCGGTCCACTGGTGTATTCTTGATAAGCAGTTGAACGTCTCTAATTTTATTTTTGCTGATGACTATAAATTAGGTTTTTGATATGCGTACTAATCTTTCACTTACTTCATTAACTTTGTGTATTAGTTGCTGTAAACTTTTTAAACTGTCTGCAAAAATAACCATATCACATATGGTAGTCCACAAAGCAGGTGTAGATATGGCAAGTCATATACAGTGTAGGTAAAAGTTTATAGTCGGTTTGGTAAAATTTAACAGGATATCTAACACAGATATAAAATCATTTTTTCAGCGAATAGACAAAGATAACAATCATATATCCCCTTAATCTACCCTTCATTAATCTTATTGACGCCTATTGCCCATTAGTGAGACGATTAGTTCCGATCAGAGATATTTTACATATTCTCTGGTTCCGATATATGTATATATATATATATATATATATATATATATATATATATATATATATATATAATATATATATATATATATATATAGTTCTTTTAACTTGTTTAGCTAAAATATATATCTATTAGGATTACTAGAATTTATTTGTGTAGCAGTCTTAATAATAATAATAATAATTGTTTAAAAAAATGTTCCCCACAAATATGAAGTACCGTGATTTTCCAGCGATTCATTTTCCACGACATAAAATTACCGCACATACTTATCAAGCAAATTAATAAACAAACATTAATACAACACCTACACACCAAATTTAATACAACATTAAACCGCAAAAATTATTTTTTGTCCTGTAGATATATATTTAATACGAACAAATCGCTTACCAGTATTGGTCGTTTCCGTAAAAACAAGCATTTTTCTTTTTGCCTTCTAAAAAACTGTTCTTGTTAGCCATTAACTCATTTTCTAACTTTGTTATACTTCTGTTTTTTAAACTAAGCAAGAAATGAGTAAATATAACATCACGTGCTTACGTCCCTGACGTAAAATATTAGCACGTTGTCACTGGTTTAGAAATCTAGCCAAGATAGTATCCTAAACATGAGACGTGTTATAAAATATACAGGGATATATACACTAGCGAAGATAACGTACAATTTATTTAGTTCTCGTGTTTTGATAGTTTCAATGTGGTATTAAGCACTATAGATGAGTAAGGATTTTTAAACGCTTTATCTGTGTAACAAAATTTCTTATGTTTCTTCAGTTTGGGAAGCTACTGTAACCAATAGTAGCTAGATCACTTGGACAAGGTCCCTGATGTTATAAGATCGGTAAAGTAGCGTGAAGAAGTTGGAAACCAAATTAAAATGAAAGTTTTATGCCAATAAAATTTCTCGTTTCTTGTTACATTTCTCGTTATGTGCGTCTTCTTCCCTTACGTATTCTTCTTTTTCGTATGGTGCGTACCAGGGCTATTTTGACTTTGTTGACTGTCTCCGTAAAAAGTCCAGTAGTGGTAAGGTTAAATCATTTTCGTAGGGCATGAAACCAGGAAATTCTTCTTCTTCCTAGATTTTTTTTCATGTAGCTTCCCTTAAAGTATGATTCGAAGTAGGTCGTATCGTTGTTCATTACGCATTATATGGCCCAAGGTATTTCAGTTTGCGACGTTTTATATTTATAATTAGTTCGCGCTCTTTACCCATTCTGCGTAGAACTTCTTCGTGGGCAACTTTGTCTATCTAAGTCAACTAAGTCTCTTCAGTGATGCTTCAGGTAAGTTCGATTACTCCACTTCATATAAAATAACTGAGAATACGTAGTATTTTAATAAACGAACTTTTATTTATACTTTTATATCTTCTCTATTAAAGGTTTTTTTTTAACAAAAGCTGATCCTGCCTTTTTGATCCTAATCTTAATTTCCTTTAACTGTTCGTTTAAATTGGCACCAATATTGTAAAATATGGTAATTTGTGGGATGTATTGTTGGTTAACTAATATTTATCCCGGTGTTGTTATATTTTTGCTAATAACCATGTAACATGTTTTTTGATGTTACACTCAAGCTCAAACCTGATACTTACTTCTGATATCCTGAAGACAAGCGTCTGCAGATCTTCCAGACTATCCTCTTACGTATAACCTTAATAAAACTATAGGTATACTAATTCAGCATACTACAAAAAAAAATTAAACAATTGTGTAAGCGTTCACTGAGTGGAATTTTCATATCACATCTTCACCCTAATACCTTAGTGGAATACGTTCTTCAACCTAAAAAATTCTACCCCAACTGTTCAGTTTAGATACAGTTTAGTTTTACAATTAAATCCACTGTAATTAAGATGATTAGGGGTAAAATTCTAGCTATTGTCGATTTTGTTCTTTAATTACTTAATTTTAGGCTAAATTTGACACTTTTGATTATGCCATCATACAGTTCTGTTAATTTTATAAACCTAAGCAGATTTTCTATAAAGGTAGTGACCAAAATATATCTTGTCCACATATCTTAAGATGTTAATTGCAACTACATTTACATACTTATATTTTACATACCTTTCCCCAGGTTTTCTTTGGTCTTCGTCTCCTGCTTCTCCCAGGAACTTGTAGATCAGTAATTTTACATATTGAGTAATTAACGTCTCGATAATGAACATGCCCAAATAATCGTAATATGTGCTCTCTTATTTTGGCATTACTTGCTGCCAGCCCTTATATACTCATTCTTAATTTTTTCTTTTTCGTCACTACACCCTTCTAAGTATTTTCATTTCCGCCACATACGTTCGTTACTTCTCTTTTTTTAACTGGCCAATATTCAATTCCATACATCATAGCGGGTTAATTTCAGTTTTGCAACCACTTGCTTCCTTCCACATAACCCATCTCACCCTTACTCTATTACATGTAACTTTGTCTATTTTTAGTCATTTTAGATACTACTGATCCTAGGTGCTTATAATTATTTCTTTTCACAATAAGTTTACGATACCATAACAGTTATCAATTATTTCAAATGGGCTCAATGAATCCCCTTGTTTGATTCCAGTACTTATTTTTATTGGTTCCGTCATTTCTGTTTAAATTTTTAGTTCGCCTGTTTCTGACGTAAATGTGCTCTATTAATTTTATGATATCCAATAGCATTTTCTTGTTGTATAACAGGTGTATCGCAACCGATAGCCTCACTATGTCAAAAGCCTAAATCTATCTCTTTGCCGTTTCCCTGAATATAAAGACGATATTGTTACATGATCTTCCGCTAAGGAAACCTTATTGTTCGTCCGATATACATTTTGGTTAGCTTATTTGTTATTCTTTTTATTAATAATTGTTGTGGCTTATCTTATAGTTTTTGTTATTTGCATTAATTCATTTAATGTTATTACTGGAGCTCCAATTTTCCGTCCCTAGCATATCTATACAACCAACTTATAATTGTTATTAAAATCTATTAAATATTTTTTTGTGTGTCTCCGTTAAAAAGATATTTCAGCGGATCACCCTCTATAACAGATAATGGGAGTAACCGAGCCAAATTGTATAGAAGGAAGTAAGAACTGGCAACGGAGCAACCGGCGCTTATATAAAAATAATCTCGCAAATACTCAAATGTTTATAAATAGATGACTAACGTATTTTTGTTCGTACGTCGTTATACGTTCATTCAATTGCAACCGTTTTCAATTAACGTCTATTCGTGTTTGGAATACTTATTTTATGCACTCATAGGTGAAATACGTCCTAATACTTTCTTGAATACTTTTAACAGTTTTTAACCTTATAAGAATGAATGCAAGTGATACCGTACAATCAAATAATATAAGATTTCCTAATGGTTTGTACTTTGGCTGCAAATGAAATATTTTAGAATCAGCTGAAACTTAACTTTTTGAAGCCCTTTTAAATGAAAATATTGACATAAATAATGAACTGGTTTCACATGTACTACTGGTGACTCCATTTCAACCAGGTTTGTAGAAATAAATTTACTCACAATCTATTTTATTTAGATAGGACGGTCGGTTTCGATCACTACCATTTTCTGGTTATCTTAACATCCCCGGAAAAGTTCAATTAAAATCCTGAAACGATTACATATCATAAATAAAAGAATTCTATCAGGTTTGTTGCAAAAAGTGCCAATATTACTTACGTATGGTTTAAGGAAGTACCTATATAAATAGTATTTACTATAATATTTATAATATAATTTTCAAAAGTTATTCTCTTCCCTGTTTCCTTTTGTAGTTTTATATTTATGCTTTCTTGTGTTTCTCACCTTTAAGAACGACACCGCCCATAATCTACCAGTACAGAGCAACGGAGCCTTCGAGTCGAGCCAATTGTGTACCGGTGTACAAAAAAATCTTTTTGGTAGTAAATTAGTCTTAATTTATGTGTTTTTAATCCTATTTAATAAATTAATTGTCAATTTTTTTTATATTGAACGGCCGTTGATCAGCCAAAAATATTGATAAGTTTACCGATCTTGTTACAGAGGCAAATTTTAAGGGTCTATCTTACTTTCTGACTTATTTACATGGGCGAAGCATTCACAATAAAAATGACCCCGGTAAGAATTAACTGCTGACATTTAACATGGTTGTCGCTAGTTTTTAGTTCAATTTGTAGATTAGTCACCTTTAATTGAAAATTGTCCGACGTATATCAATAATTTTACCAACGCCATTTCTAGTACTACTTTTTTTATACACCACAATGTCTATCCTTTATACAGTTCTTTTGCCCTTTACCCTTTCTACTTTGTGTCTTAAACGTCAACAATTTGTACTTCTTATTTGTACTTCACTGAAATATTCCTCATCCAGAATCCCAACTGCGGTTCTGTTTGCTTCCAGATCATTATACCTCAGGAGATGCCATCATTTTAGTATAATTTTTATTATATTGGAGAGAAAGTCTTTTTCTTATTATGACGCGAAAATATTTTGGGTCATTCAATGTCTGAAAGCATTTTCTGAAAGGCATTTTTGAATAACACGATGTCCTGCATAATTTAGTCAATACACTACCAATACAACGAACGTGAAATATTACCCCAAACCTGCTTGTACTAATTGAGTTGCTATCTTTATATCGTTATATCGTTGCTATAGAGACACCTTCTCTTGGGTTGGCAACCCTGGGAGTCTTTCATTGCCATCATGTAAATCTGTTTAAAACTATTTAAATTATATAATTTATTATATAATATATTATTATATAATTGCATAATTTAATCATAATTTAAATTTTTTAACAGAAAGTTTAAGAAAGTTAACAACATTTAAAGGGTTTTTACCCACATATTTAGTGGCTTCACTCATGTATACCTGGTAACTGCACTAATGATGGACTTATTTGTCCGAAAACATTCTGTGATGTAACCCGAAAGGGCTTTTTTTTAGAATATATATACCTTATATAAAGGATTTTTTAAATAAAAGTTTTTATGATTTATGGTATAAAGCCAACTACAGGAATTTAATTTTCCTTGGAGACTCTGATAGAACTTTGGACGGTTGGATTTAGGTCAACAGTCAAAGGAACATGGGAGTTTCCATCAAAGCACCACTCTGACAGAACTCTGACAGAACATACTCTCTTGCGGCGTATACTGGTTTATACCGTTGCCTATCTTCCACCTACGGCGCCCATCGATAGAAGTGGAACTTGGCGATGGAAGTACTTGCTGTGAGGACCTTCGGCAATAACTGGCGATGCACATTGTTACAATATGGAATTATTGCATCCAATGTGTTAATTAATATCCCAATTTCATAAAAATGTAAGTTTTTGACCAGTGTGTTTTAGCCATTTATGATGTATTGAACCGAGCCTGCTATCCTCACTAAAACATCGGCAAATAAAAAAATCAATAATAATGTCCATATTTGGGAATCATAATAGACGACAAAATGACATTCGGACACCATATACAAGAGGCATGTCGGAACCTCGACCTCGATCCTTA